TGATGGCTTCGTTCACAGAGGGGAAGTCGTTGAGGATCAAGAACTGCTTCAGGTCAGACACAAGTTTCATCAGGGACTCGCCAGCTCGGACCTCGTGGCAGGGGGAAAACCCACACATCAAAACAGGGCTTTGCTCCAGTTCCAACACAAGATCTCCCAAGCTGCTCCTGAAGCAGGATGAAGTAAAAACTCCCACATTACATAGGGATTCTCACAGAAGCCTGTAGCTGACGAGCCACCCAGCCTTCCCCAGCCACCCCAAATACCAGTTACTGCCCCAGCAGCAGTTCTTGTGGGAGATATTAAGATCCACCAGTGAACCCAACAACACCTGAAGGACGTGCTGCCCACAGACCTGAACAGCTCAGTGCTACTCACAATGTTTGCAGCTCTGACGTGCATCTCATAGTTATCTTGCTCACCCTGGGTTGCTCGAGAGACTTGAGTTTCGTCCTCAATCTAAAGGAATAAAAAGTACACATATCCACCTTTACACATTTAAAATCCATCCAGATGATTACTATGTTATAAGGCATCATATATGGGAATATATGTGAATTTCATATATAGGTGAAATGTATATGTGAAAAATATATGTGTGTGTGAAATTCACATCTATAGATGAATTTCAGTTCAATTCACATCTGGAACTGCTGGGGCACCTCTGGACTTTACAGCACCCACGTATCATCTTTGCTGTCCTCCCCTCTTGCTTCTGCAGTTCTCCCTCATTCAGGAACATCACAGGATGGTCAGGAGCAGCCAGGGAGGGCTGACTGCTGTCTGCCCTGGGGAAGGGACCCTCTTCCCTCTTGGAGGAACCAGGAGAAACAGGACTGGAGCACCTCCCCTATGGAGACAGGCTGGGAAAGTTGAGGCTGTTCAGCCTGGAGAAGGTTGCATGGAGACCTCACAGCCCCTTTCAAGTATCTGAAGGGGCTACAAGGAAGCCAGAAAGAGACTCTTTGTCAGGAACTGTAGTGACAGGACAAGGAATAATGGATACAAATTGAAAAAGGGGGAATTTAGGTTAGATATTGGGAAGAGATTCTTCCCTATGAGGGTAGTGAGGCCCTGGCACAGGTTGCCCAGAGAAGCTGTGGCTGCCCCATCCCTGGGAGTGTCCAAGGCCAGGTTGGACGGGGCTTGGAGCAACCTGGGAGAGTGAGAGGTGTCTCTGCCCATGGCAGGGGGTGGGACTGGATGACCTTTAAAGTCCCTTCCAACCCGGTAATATGATTCTCTGAGTCTATGTCCCCTCACGGGCTTTGCTCTCCCCTCACAGCTCCCCCCCCCCAGAACCCAGCCCCATCCTTCTTCCCTCAGGAGCCAGGGGGTGCCCACCTTGGCCGTCTTGATGATTTCAGTGAAGTTGTCCATGATGGACTTGACATCGTCCTTGAGGCGCTTGTTGTAGGACTGCAGCAGGGTCTCCTTGCTCTGGGGCAGCACCCGGGGCTGCGCCATGGCCGCACTTCCCCTCACGGCCCCGCCCCGCCCGCCTCTCGCGAGACCTCCCGCGGCGCCCCGCCGATATCTCCCGGCATGCCCCGCGCCGCCCCTCTCTCCCTCCGCCCAAGATGGTGAGTGATGGCGGCGGCTGGGGGGGACCGGGGCCATCCGCCTCCATCCGCCGCCCTCGAGGGGCCGCGGCACCGCGGGCAGCGCCGCGCGGGCGCTGGGCAGCCATGGCAGGCGGTAGAGGGGCGTTCCGTGCCCGATTCGCGCTAGCCGCGGAAGGCCGGGTGCGGGCCTGTCCCGCCTCTGGCAGCGCGGCCGGGCCGCGGCGGGTCCCCGGTGTGGGCCGGGTCCCGGTGGTCGGACCGTCACCTCTGTGGGGGTGTCTCGGCTGCTGTTGGGGAACACTGGGCCGAGCGAGGCCATTGACACGCGCGTTTGGTCGTTGTCGCGCTCCGGGAGGTTTGTAAACCTTGTAAAGGCAAAGCGGAAGATTTGCGCTCTCTGGATGAGCAGGGAGCTCTTCTGGCTCTTCTCCCTGCTCTGGGAGGTGGCATTTATTTTCTGCCTGGGAAAATAAACGCGTTTCCAGGGTGGGAGGGTAAATCTTTCATGCATGCAAGTGTTGGAGGCAGTAGAAGGCAGTGTGTGTTTCTTTTTTGCAGCCGAAAGGAAAGAAGGCCAAGGGCAAGAAGGTGGCCCCGGCCCCTGCTGTAGTCAAGAAGCAGGAGGCCAAGAAAGTCGTCAATCCCCTCTTTGAGAAGAGGCCCAAGAACTTTGGCATTGGTGAGTAATTGGGATATTTGGGGTGTTTGCTCCACTTTGTTTTATGGACAGATGTCTAAATTCTAAACAAATCAATGCTGTAGAGTGGAGAGGGTGATGGAGGCAGTTACCTTGCTGCTTGGAGTTTGCTGCTATCCTTCATGTGAAAGTGGTGTTGGACAATTTTCCCGACTTCCCTTATTGCTTGTCCTAATGGATACATTATATGCTCCTTTTGGGGTGAATCTTGCCCTTTTGCCCGTGTTTGTGGCAAATAATTCAGCCCTGTGAAGTGCCACTTTTGTACGGGGTGCAGATGATGTGAAAGAATATTTGCTATCTGAGTGGCTGTGCTGACACATCACCACCAAGATCACTGATGCCCCTGTGCTGCCCCCTGCTACTGCTGCTGTGGGTTTGGGGCAGCTCTGAGCTGAGGGCTGTGTTTTTTAGGACAGGACATCCAGCCAAAGCGGGACCTCACTCGGTTTGTGAAATGGCCCCGGTACATCCGGCTGCAGCGCCAGAGATCCATCCTCTACAAACGCCTCAAGGTGCCTCCTGCCATTAACCAGTTCACCCAGGCCCTGGACCGCCAGACAGGTAAGGATGTGCCCCACATTCCTGGGTTTAAATGGGATGTGCCTCAGGGAAGGGGAGAGAAACTGAAATCTGGAGCATGTCTGTTTAGGGAGGCTCTAACAGTGATAGAGAGTTGATGTGTGAATTTGCTGCCTGCAGCCTTGATTGCTGCTGTGTAGCCTGAAAAGGGTGTTAAAAAACAACAAAGCTGCAACTTACTGACCCAAACCCAGCGTTATCTTAACTGTGTTTCCATCAGAGTCCATTCTTCCAGCTTGAATCTCCCAGGGTTCTTCTAATTGTGTAAACACATTGAGAAACCTGTAGGAGGAAAACCAGCATCCTGCAGCCTGGCATTGAAATGAAGGAAGAAGGATCTTCTTTGAATGAGTAAAAGTCTTTTCCAGGTGACAGTGTCTATGCAAGAAAACTTGGATCTGTGTAGAGTAACTCCCTTCTCATAGATGTTGCCAAACAAGTTTCTTGCTTTAAAGCAGACAGTGCATCACCCCTAACCATAACTGCTGTGGGGCTCCACAGGCATTTCCTCATCCAGACAGTGAAGGAGCTCTCACAGCCATCAGAGGTGCACTTAGAGGTAAATAGGGGCTCTGAAGGTGCTCTTCTCTTGGACTGTGCAAATGATGATCACTTTTTGCTGCCTAAACACACGTGATGACAAACCACCAAGATCGCTGATGCACTTCAGTGTTTTAAAAAGTGATGCTTAGATTCTCAGGTTGTGCAACTAACGAGTAGATGTTCTCTTGCAGCCACACAGCTCCTGAAGCTGGCACACAAATACAGGCCAGAAAATAAGCAAGAGAAGAAGCAGAGGCTCCTGGCACGTGCTGAGCAGAAGGCTGCAGGAAAGGGAGATGCTCCAACTAAGAGGCCACCCGTCCTCCGAGCAGGTGACTGTGTGCCTGGACTTGGCTGATGGCAAACAAGGAGCGTGGTGCTTGGTTAGACAGAAAACTGATAAACAGGCTTGGACAAGCTATTGCAATGATGTATGAATTTCTTCACCTGAGCTCAAAGTGAAGAGCAAAAAAGACGAGCTTTTTAACCCTGAGCTTTAGCAAATGTCCATGAAATGTCTTTGTGCTGCTGATGTGGAAAGTTTTCATGACTTCCATGATGAGGCTGCGCTATGGAACCTGAGCTGGTTGTGTGAGGCTTTTATGAAAGCTCTAAAAATAGACTGAGCAGAATCAAAGCTTATCTATAACTTGTTTTTCAGGTATTAACAGTGTCACAACTCTGGTGGAGAACAAGAAAGCTCAGCTTGTAGTTATTGCCCACGATGTAGACCCCATTGAGGTGAGCATGGTACAGCCTACCTGTGGAACTTAAGGTGGGGTCAGAAGTGGTCTTGGGGTGAAAGTGCATTTTAGGACAAATACTGCATGAAAGAGAATGCATAAAAATACACATTTACTATAACTGGGATGGTTATGCATATTTGTAGTTGGTGTGACAGTGAGGCTGGGCCCTTGCAATGATGTTTTGAATTTCTTCACCTGAACCAGCAGTGAAGAGCAAAACGAGCTTTTTAACACTGAGCAGTTGGCCACAGCCCAGGCTGATGCCAAGGGTGAAAAGATGTTCTCCCTCGGTTACACAGCACAATTCCCTTTCCTTCTCAGCTGGTGGTGTTCCTGCCAGCCCTGTGCCGCAAGATGGGAGTGCCCTACTGCATCATCAAGGGCAAAGCCAGGCTGGGCCGACTGGTCCACAGGAAGACTTGTACCTCGGTTGCCTTCACCCAGGTTAACCCGTAAGTAGTAGCAAACTTGGATCTCTCTAAAATGAAATAACACCTTTTTAATGTCTAATAAAAATGTGTCAGCTGGATCCTGAAGCTACAGGTTATTTTGGGTTACCAAAATGGATCATTATTCTAAAATATGTGTGTGGAACTGTTAGCCTTAATCTGAGCAGTGGAGATTCTAAAGTATTGATGGGTTGGAGTGTTAACCCTTTGCAAGTGATGTTTATGATTAACCTGAAAAAATGGGTTTGCCACTAGAAGTTCTCAAGTCCTGTGGCTAAATATTTATGGAAAACGTTAAATTAAGGCTCTAAAAAAATTAAAACTGTCACCAACAGGGAGGATAAGGGAGCCCTTGCCAAGCTGGTGGAGGCTGTCAAGACCAACTACAATGACAGATATGATGAGGTAAGATTCTCTGTGCTGCTGACCTTGTCTTGGATTTTATTCTGTTAAAATTCCCCAAAGCTTCCCAGAGATACTCAGATTTTTTCAGACATAGTGACACCAGCTTATAGTCTGTTGGGTGTGTTACACCTAGAGTTGCTTATGGTATACCCAGATTCTTTACCCAAGGATGGGGTAAAATGTGAATGCTGTCACCAAGTTAGAAGTAAACAGTGCTATCCCAGGGCAAGGATTGTAGGAAAGTTCTGCTTGGCTGAACTCCATCCCCCAAGTCCAGGAGTTACTTGATGGCTGAACCCAACACCCATCGTGGGGAAAAATCTTAAGCTCTTCTTTCTCTTTGCTGTCCTAAAATATAGTTCAGTTGCTTGAAACGTGTAGGGCTTTGTAGTTGAGGGAGCTCTTCCCCTTGTGCAGAAAGGAGTGGAATTGTGTGAGTTTGATTGCATGAGGCCTCTAACCTGTCCTCCCTTCTTTGCAGATCCGTCGTCACTGGGGCGGGAATGTCCTGGGTCCAAAATCGGTGGCTCGCATTGCTAAGCTGGAAAAAGCAAAGGCTAAAGAGCTGGCTACTAAGCTGGGCTGAAGATGTACTGGATTGCTTTGTACATAAAGACAATAAACCCCAGCTAAGTTTCAGTGGTCTCTGTTAATGGGGGCAAGGGGTGGCACTACTGGACTTCTGTTTGCCTTCCATGAAATGACAGAACAGTGCTGTGCAGAAGTGGCTGCACAGAGCAGGTTAGTATTTCACTTGGAACAACTGCCCTTGATTACTAGTCCTGTGTAATAATTCCTCTCCCTTGAACACACAGCCCAGCAACAGCAGCTCAGCTGCACATCCTGGATCCACAGTAAGCTGTAATTCAGGTCTGTCACTGTTCAGTGTAAGATGCACAATGCAAGTCACAAAGCAGAGACCTGTAGGCCTTTATTTACTCTGATGCAACGACTTTGAGCCACTCTTGACCTCAGGAATGGCTATTCAATGCAAAGAAACTTTGATTCACAAAATCCTTTGGATTTGTCCTTTGGAAAACGCAGCACTGCAGATGTTAAAATGTAGCTTACAATCAACCACAACACAAAAATGTGTCCTTGATTACTGTTTTAAGTTCAGTGCTTCCAAGCTGCAGCCAAGTCACGCTGGTGGGAGCTCAGAGTCTGCAGGGGTTGCTTAAAAGTTGATTTGCAGCTTGCTAGAGGCACATGTTTGTGGAACACTGCCCTGAAATCCTGCGTGTTTCAGCTGTTCAGGACTGATCAGGCTCCTGTCTTCCATAAAAGTCTGCTCCTACTGTAGTACAAATAGGTTACACATTCCCCTCACCGAGGTATCTTCTGTATAAATTTCCTGTACCACAAGAACGAGGTTGCAGCACATAAACCATACCTGTGAGAGAGAATAAAGCCACACATTTGCACCTTTCCAAGGTGGACTGCACCTTTCTAGGGCAGCTACAATAACTGATTACTTCACATCACCTTTGAAATGTTACTTCAGTTAAAAATTCAGGCTTTTGTAGCTTAAAAGCTCATGCAGGCAAGACTTTAATCTCCAAGCACCCCAAGGAAGGTCAGCCAGACTGGTCCCTTACCAGGTGATGATGTACTGCATGTGCTCGTTCCGCAGGCTCACTCTGGTCTGGCCACCAATGGGCCCCCCTGGGACGGTGCTTCCTGCAAGGACAACACAGCCAAGTTAAATCTTCAGCCTGCACAGTGCAGAGCTGCCTTGGCTGTGAGAGAGGGGATGAAGGTTGTAAGTCTGGTGGATACCCTGTTCCTTTTCTGGGGCAGTGGTGTTCCCAAGTTCATAGAATCACAGAATGGTTTGGGTGGGAAGGGACCTTGAAGACCATGTCATTCCAACCCCTGCCATGGGCAGGGACACCTTCCCCTAGCCCAGGTTGCTCCAAACCCCGTCCAACCTGGCCTTGGACACTTCCAGGGATGGGGCAGCCACAGCTTCTCTGGGCAACCTGTGCTAGGGCCTCCCCACCCTCACAGGGAAGAGTTTTTTTCCTAATATCCAATCTAACCCTGCCCTCTGTCAGTTTGAACATTCCCCCTTGTCCTACCACTCCATGCTCTTGACTAAAGTCCCTTTCCAGTTCACTTTCAGTCCCCCTGTGACCTTCAAAACTGGGATAGCAGAGTACAGGAAGAGAAAGATGCAATACCTTGTTGGACTTGATACTAAAAGTCTTTACAAATGATTCTATGGCTCTACCTTTCCAGGTGCCCAGGGAAAGTAACAAACTGAATGGAAAGGGAGGGAGACTGGTGGGGTTGGGTTCCTGTGTGACTTACTGAAATCTGCATCGATGAAGATGGGCTCAGCACCGGTCACCTTGGCCATGGCCTCCAGGTCTCGGTAGTGCCAGCGGTTTTGTTCGATGTTATTCTCAGGCACAAAGGGTTTCCGGGTCTCTGTTAACCTCACCACCCCCGTGAGATCGATTTCCTCTTCAATCTAAAGGAGAAGTGCAGAGAGGAAAAAAGGAATCTTTCAAGATTCATTTCATATATCTGGCACACCGAGTCTTGCTGTTGTATCCTGGATGTGCTGTAACACAGGGGAAAAAAGCAGAACAAGAACAGCTCCTTGTTTGTAAAACACATTATTTACTAATGAAAAGGTGGGAAACAAAGGTTTGTCTTTGAAAAGGGCAATGACTGTTTAATTCACTTCCCATGATGCTGAACATGGGCAGAAAGTAACACCCCACATTCCCTGGATCCCCCTTACCTGTCCCTTCAGCCTGGTCTCCGGTTTCAGTTTCTTTCTGGGCACAAATCCTCGGTTGACTAAAATCGTGACCCTAGAGTTACACACAGAAGTAAGTCTCAGGACTGAAAGGAAATTTATTCCTGCAGCTGCCTAGAACTAAAGACCAAAGAAAAACAACCCACATGTTTGCTACCATTTCTTTTTGTCACGTTAAAAGAAAATGTTAAAAGTGCACGTTAAAGGGGAATTTAAACACAATTTCAAATTGAGCCTCAGTGACCACACAGTCTGTGAGAGAAACCTTTTAAGGGAGGGGGAGTGATTGATGTAAATCTAACCACAATTCAGCTTTTCCAAATGGAAGTGAGGTGCTCAGGTGGACCACAACTCTCCTTAACTCACCCCAGCTCTGTGCAGTAGAAGGGGGTGACGACATTGGCTCCGTTCTCCGGGTGGGATGTCAGCCGCCCGGCTTCCCGGGCTTCCCGCTCCGGGTCCACCAGCGACCGGGGCAGAATGTAGAGCTCCTTGGAGTGGTCGAAACGCCCTCGGACCTTCACAGGCCTGTACTCCAACTCCTTCAGTTCCATGGGGCTGCATGGAACAAGAGGAAAACAAAATCGTGGCTGTGACAGGCAGATTAAATTAGGGGATTTTATCATGGGATTCTCCTTTTCCCTAATGGTTCGCTCTTGAGCCAGCAAGCAGAAGACAAACACCTCATGGAATATGCAGCTGGCTCAATATTTTGTTACTATCACAGGGAGTGATGATCAGGAGTATCCTGAGAGAAGTTCTTTTCCATGATATCTGCAACCCAGATATCACAGAGCTGATGAGCAGGTGGATTCACTACCTGTGCATCCAGCCACGGGAAGCGTTTCTTTCCCATTCCAGACCATGAAATCCAAAAACTGAGACATTCTGACAGTTGTGCCAGGTGGCCAAGTGACCTTAAAAACCTCTCTCATATCTGACACAACTGCTCAACACATGGGGCAGGGCCTGCTGTTGATCCAAGACTACCTGTTGTAGGAATAATTCCTTTGGGATGTCAGATACCAGCAACCACGCCCTCCTTCCCCAGGATTAGATATGGTATGAACTACATCCCACATTCTCCTGAACAGAGATTCATCCTTTTCCCATGCATTTAGAATACCCCATAGGAAAGTATTCACTTATACTTTTACTAAAAATAAGAAAATTAACAGGATCTCTCTCTAATTTGCTGGTACATCCCAATTCCCATTGCAGTCCTTCATTTTCATGCAGGTTAGTTCAGCACAAGCTCATTAGTGCAGGGTCCATATCTAATATCCCCAGCACCCTGTAGATAATAAAACATCCCAGCTTCCATACTCTAATGTCAGAGGGATAGGATCTGCTGTAATTCTTGATGCCAGTTGTGCAATCAAATCTAATTTCCACTTTCGTCGCTGAACCTGAAAGTACACAAACACAAAAGTAATTCTTTAGGGTAGAACAGAGCAATGCAATAACCTCAGCAAGCCTTGAAATCTTGGTTGTAATTTTTTCATCAGACCTGGCCTAAAACAGGGTAATTGGAGATATGAAAATGGAGGCTACTGACTTTCATTTGAGAAAATATACTGAAATAAAAGTGTAAAAAACAAGAATCTCTCCTTTAAGGACTTACAAATGGACACTTGGAAAACAGAAATGTAAAACAACAGCAAATCTTTACCCTGCCTGTGATTTGGACTAAATTAAACAGCCAGAGACTGAAAAATCTGACAGCCCTCAAGTGCTCATTTATTGAAAAAATTAAATATTTATTTGTACCTGCCATGTGCCGAGACCAAAGGTGGTCAGAGGGACCAGGAGAAGGCCCCATTTCAGTAAGGCATCATCACCAGATGTGTCAGCAGCTGCTGCAGAACTCCGTGGTCTGCAGAACCTCAAGCAAACATCTAGAGAAAAACAGAATGAGGAACAGGATTTATAGAGAAGAGGTGCCAGATTCCTGCAGGAAATGTCACTGGTATTAGGCTGAAGCAGGGCAGAAGCCCAAACAATCTTAGGCATCATTCTTACCTTTAGTGTGCTGAACCAGCCCAGAACCTGCTTTGGTTAGGGGATATCCAAAAAACATTCTTCTGATCAAGCAAGGTGATGCCTACATGGAATAAGAAAGATCCTTTGTAGCATCGCTGCTGTGTAAAACTTCTGTCTAGGTGGTATCAGTCACCTTCATTCTTCACACAAATGGGGGACAGGGTCAGGGGACAGGATCAGGGGATGGGATGAGAGGACAAGATGAGAGGATGGGATGAGGGTACAGGATCAGGGGACAGGAGGAGGGGACAGAATCAGGGGATGGGATAAGAGGACAGGATGAGGGGACAAGATGAGGGGACAGGATCAGAGGATGGGATGAGAGGATAGGAGGAGGGGACAGGATCAGGGGACAGGATGAGGGTACAGGATCAGAGGACGGGATCAGGGGACAGGATGAGGGGTTTCCCCGGCCCGGCCCCGCTCCCCCGAGCCTCACCCGGCCCCGCCGCTCCCGCAGCAGCCTCAGCCCGGAGCTCAGCACCATCCCGGCCATGGCCCCACCGACCCCGCTCCTCCCAGCCCGGCCCAACCCGGCCGGTACCCGCGGTCTCCCCGCACCGCCCCGCCGTGCCCGCGGCCCCGGAACGGGAAGCTCTCCCGGCCCGGCCCCTCGCGATGGCGGCGCCGGGCCCGGCGGGCGGCGTGGCCGGGCCGGAGGTGCCCGAGGCCGAGCGGCGATTCCTGAGGCAGCACCCGCTGCTCAGCCCCGCGGGGCCCGGCAAGGTGCGGGCGAGCGGGGCCCTGAGGGGATGGGGCCGCCTCCCTGGGGGGTCGTGAGGGTGGTACGCGGTGGGCTCGGCCCCGGCGAGCTCCCGGTCCTGGGGGTGTCTCTGCAGCTGTGGGAGGCCGGGAAGGAGGGCGGTGGTCCTGCCCTTCCCAGCACCGGGATGGATACAGAAAGGATGGATAGACACTGGACGGGGCTGCCCGGGGAGGTGGTGGAGTCACCCTGGAGGTGTTCAAGGAAAGAGTGGACGTGGCACTTGGGACCATGGTCTTGGTTGACGCGGTGGTGTTGGGTCACAGGTTGGACTTGATCTCAGAGGTCTTTTCCAACCTGACTGAATCCCCTGGGCTTGCTGCCCATTCGTGTTTTTTTCCAGGTGAGATGCAGGCTGACAGGACACGAGATGCCCTGTCGGCTGTCGGAGCTGCAGGCTTATACCAGCGGCAAGAAGTATCAGCGGCTCATAAAGACAGCCAAAGAGTTCGACTACGGCAAGTTTGAGCCCCACATAGTGCCCAGCACAAAGAATTTGTACGTATTCTTCCTCCTCTGTGTTATGTTATCCTTTACGCTTTGTTCGATCTCAGACGTAAAGTGGTTGAGCTTTACAAAGTTTTTATGGGTTTTGGGAGACTGGGGAAGGCTTTATGAAGTATTTATCAACTTTGAGTACGGTGCTTGTAAGTGAAAAGTTATGAAGTAACAGCATACTTAAACTCTTGCTGGCTCTTTTTGTGTCTGTAGACACCAGCTGTTCTGCAAGCTCACCCTCAGACACATCAACAAGTTCCCAGAGCATGTCCTGCGTCATGTCCAAGGGAAGCGCTACCAGAAGGCCCTTAAAACGTGTAAGTAGCTTTTCTGGAGCTGTTACCAGGCAATTTTTTTTTCATTGAGCTGTTGAGATTCCAGTGGATCTGTGTGAAGGGAGTGGGATAGTTTTCTTTAGACTGGCATCAGTGTGTTGCTGTGTGTGCTCCTCAGCTAGGAAGGAAGATCTCAGATGTAGGGAGCAATTGGCCTCTAGTAAATACCTTGGGACATCCCTCCTTGAGAGGATCAGTTCTAAAACTCCCCCAGGGAGTTCATGTATCCAGCACAATCTGTTTTAACATCTTCTCTGGTCCATAGTGCTGCTGGAGATTATATAGGTTGTATATTTGGGGTGGAGCATCCTGAACTTTGGAGGTGCATTTCCTATAAGCTTGAGCTGGACATGAAAGGACTTGGGGACTGGGCTGCCTGGCTCAGCGCTGCCTGACTCTCCCTCTGGTAGATGAGGAATGCCAGAGGGAAGGACTGGAGTATGTCCCTGCCTGCCTGCGACAGAAGAAGCAGCGGGCACAGCATCCTGATGACCAAATGAATGGGAGCAGAAAACCTCACAGGAAGGAGGAATTCTGGGAGCCAAAGTCAAGTGATGAGGATGGAGAGGAGACAGACGACAGCATGAGTGACCTGTACCCACGTGAGTGAGAACACGGGTGTCATCTGTGTCCTGAAGAAGTTTGTTGGCTGATTTTCTCCTGGTTTCTTTATACTGTTCCCTGCTGCTCTTCCATCCAGTTCGGGGGTTTTGTGTCTTGGAAAAGCTTACCACCACCAAATAAGAAATAGCATTATCACTAAGTGATAAGCAGTTGGATCATGTAAACTGTGAGGGGAGGGATGCAAGATCCACTGGGATTTGCTGCTTTAGGTATCCCCACTTCCCTTGTTTCTCAGCAAGTCCTTGAGTCTGACAGAAGCTGGTCATCCTGTTTTACTGACTTATATCTGGAGGTGCAGATCTGTCTTGCTGCAGGAGCAGAGGTCTAACTCCACCTGTGCTGGAGTTCCCAGAATGGGATTAGTGAGACAACCAGGCACATTTCCAATAAAACATCATTGGCAAATCACCTTTAAGCTGCTCTCAAAGTAAAGTTAGTGTGCACAGGTAACTGATTCTGAGCTAAATCTTTGTGTTTTAGCTGCGCTCTTCCCAGAAAAAAGCCCATCAGCTGCACAAACCACAAAGGGCAGCGATGACTTTGCAACAGACAGTGAGGATGACGGGGCCAAGAACGGAGAGGATGGTGGAAGGATGGATGTCAGCAGAGCCGTGGGCAACAAGAGAGGAAAGGTGGGAGTCACCCCACTGCCTGCAGCAGCAGGGGAGTGTGGAGCTGGGATCCCATCCCGTAGGTGTTCCATCTATTCCTGTCTGAGAACCAGCAGAAGGTGCAAAGCTGTTCAGAATAGACTCCCTGTGTGCCAGACACTGACTTGCATCCCGAGGTGTGAATTGCTGCCAGGCAATGTTTATCCTCTCTGTGGTAGCGAGCGATGTTCCCGCCTGTATAAACAGCTCATCTTTGGTGGCATCCTGCTGCACACAGTCTCAGCAGAGAGGCTGATGTGTGTCTTGTGGGTTGAGTGTCCTCCAAATACACAAACATACGTGAAACCCTTTTGCAGTCACAGGATCCTTCTAGATCTCTTCTGAGGCCCTGCCTTAAGGACATCCCCTGATCCCACTCAAGTTTGGGAAGCAGGCATACGTTAGATATATAAAGATGGATTTGGGGGTTGGAAATAAGCTGATTGAACTTTTCTTCTCTACAGAAACAGTCGGGCCCTTTAAAGAAGAAATTCAAGAGCCATCATCGAAAACCCAA